GCAAATATGTTATCAGACTTTGTCTGTGCTGTTACTGTTGAAGTTTTGAAAGTTGACTATTCTCATTTCCTTACAGCTTTTTGCTTGGAATAAGCAACAATAACCTCAAAAAGTGCCATTAAGGTTGTTGGTAGAGTTTCTGATCAAGTTCTATTTTTGAGATGAGCAATTCCACATAAGATTTGTTTATGAATTTTTGCTTGTCTGTGCCTTTACCAAACCTCACATTTTTATCTAATTAATGTCACATACAAAATACACCTAACACTTTGATATGCACATTCATTGAGTTTCCTTTTTTTTGACTACCTTTGCTTCTGAAACACAGAACACAGAAATAGTTATTATAGTTTAGGCAATTACAAAATATTTTGTCTTTCCTGTTACCATGTTGTCTGTCCTGTTACCATGAATGACTTTCCTGTCACCAGGTTTCTGCCATCTCAAAAGTTATAATTGGTTCAACTCTGCTGACAAAAATATATATAATTCATAAAATGAGTGTAATAACTATTATTACCTCATAGAATAATGGTAGTTCCATTTCAGTGTAAGCAGTAGACAAGTTTATCGTACATCTTTTTGCAAATAATTCCATTGTATGCATATATTTACAGTCTAATAATTAAGTAAAGCCAATAAATGAATTTTTATAGCTGTTGGTATTTGAACTGTGCCAAAATGCAACCATATCATAAATTAAATTCATTTTAGATTTATGTTCGGTGACAAAAACTGAATTTTATGCACGGTAACAGCACAGACATTTGGTACAGAGATGCCAAAAATAGTTTTCTGCAAAAAGGAAAATAAGACATATTAAGCCTGCACACTTTACACTTATATTCAGTAATTGTTATGTTGTTTATCTGCTCAACAAAAACATTTCAAAAATGAATTCTGATTTGTTGATTTTTCATAGGCCAAAATGTTACTTTTTTATAGAATGACCCATATACGGGTAAATTTATATAGTAATTATTTCGTTTTGAATGAAAATCGTCAAGGAACCGAGGTTTCCGGATATCTGAAGTCCGTATAAGCGGGGCATGACTGTACAACCGACTTCCAGTCTATGTCAGTCCAGTACCACATCCATGTCCTTACTACAAAAAACGATTTTGTTGTTTGTCCAGTGTAGACGACAACAAGACCTAGGAGATAGAACTCTTACTATTGCGATGGTAGCAGATTGTTTACTACATCTATGTCAAGATAAAGCCTCCACCATGGTTCAATAGAAGTGTATAGATCATTCTGTACTACATCTTGACAGACTCACCATAGGACATTATGCTACCATCAATAGAGTAATGAGATCATTTCTTGTGGAAAAAGTCCAAGCACCGAGGATCTTCCCAAAATAGAATCTTTCAGTGGTTCTATAGCACTCCTAACAGAACCATTTGAACCTCTCACCAAAGCTACTTTAATCCAAATATCAAGGATATCTACGGCCACGGCAGCCAGAGTATCTGAAATTCCTGCTCTATACTTTTCAACATTTATGCATGCGGAGAATGGGTGTAATATTACAGTCAGATCAATACCAGATTTTGTCGCCAAGAATTAATCAACATCCCTTGAACCAGTGGCTCAAATTGACAATAACCGAAAGTTATTGCAGAGCCCAAGACTCATCACCTATACTCACATTTTGCTGTGCCCACGACTTTGGCATCAAGTCTTGCGTCTTGGAATACAGTAGTATCCTTAGAACAACCTGTATCCAGCTGTCAACCTTCACCAACTTTAACTTGCAGATGTTCATCCAGACCTGGGAGGGCAACATTTCAAAGGTCCCATATTTGCAGCTCAGTCAATCAGCAGCCAATAGTTATATGGAAAAAGGGGGAGTGAGTGGGGAGGCTAGAATAGGGAGCTAAACAGGACACATAAGAGGCAGATTAACTTGAAGTGACGTCATGGTAGATGATGACTGTAAGTGATGTCAGAGCCGGAAGTAATATCTTGGTCTGAAGTGACCAGAAGTGACAAATGGAAGTGACATCATTGACACGAAGTGACATTATAGACCGGAGATAACCAGACGTCACATCATAGGACTGAAGTGACATAATAACCTGGGGAAACTGGAAATGTCATCAGAAAATAATGTCATTGAAACGAAAACTGAAAGTGACTTCCAACCTGGAAGTATGACAGATCAGAAGTGACGTCACAAAACCTGAAATGATCCGCCTTAGCAAGCTAAAGAGCTGGATGCTGATTGGTGGTACTATTGTGGAGACAACTAGTTGTGTGTGGTTGACAGTGAAGTGGACTTCTGTTGAAAAATCTGAAGAGTAGTTTTGGTGTGATTGCAGCCAAAATACAGGAATTTGGCTATGATGTAATAGAGGTAGTATTCTTACAATTATTAAAAAATGATAACTATTGTTCCTATGATTGTGGATTCGAATCCAGGTTTGCCCCAATTATGTTTCTTGGCACCATATCCATGTGTGTGGGTTTCACCAAAGTGGTAAACATCTAAGACCTGCTCCACTTCAGGTTTTCCTACCTCATGAAGCTGACATGCTGTAAAATGAAAAAGTGGAGTTAAACACAGCTCACTCGCTCACTCTGCGACTATGACTTTAGTAGATTTGTCTCTTACGGTGTGCTCAGATGAAAGGGATTACCATGTGTCTGGTTTACCCACTCTATTCCTCACCTTCTGGGGGGAATTGCATCACTCACTGATGCACAGGAGTTACACCTGTGGCAAGTTTAATCTGGATTATTTCGAATCTGGGCCAGACTATCCAGTGATTTACTTCATCAGGATCATTCTACACATTGGTTTACTATGACATGCATCTACCAAGTTATAGAGCTTGAGCTGTACAGTAATGCCCATTATCAACACTGTATCCAGTCAATACATGTTTCTCCATAACGAGTCAGTCACCAGAAGTATACGTTCATGGATTGATAACTGATTACACATGGGTGAGGTTCAAGTTAAGGCCAGACTTCTGCCACATGTCAGTGAAATGTGACAGTGTCACATCTTACACAATCTATTCCACAAATTATGATACATATGTTTTTCATCCACGAAGATTCAGGGTTGGAATTGGTCTTCAGCAAACCATGCTTTGTCGAAAGAGGCAACTAATGGGATCGGGTGGTCAGGCTCGCTGACTTGGTTGATGCATGTCATTGTATCTCAAGTACATAGATCGATGCTCATAATGTCAATGACCGGATTATCTGGCCCAGACTGGAATATTGCTGAGCTCAGAGTTAAACACGCAACCAAAGAAACAAATAATTCTTTATATTTTTGAAAACTCTACTCATTTAGATAAACACGTCATGAAATGGTTAACTTTCATTGAAAAATATCCTAAAACGTGGAGAACTATTTCCATTTGAGTAGTTATCCTTTGTTGACATTGGTTGTATGGCTCCACATGCTGTCATTGAAGCCCTATGGAGGGCTACCATATATAACATGGCACCATATGCTATTTACGAGTATAACGAACCAGATCCACAGATTTGCCCACCTATTTCTGGTAAAACTTTACGGTTACATCAGCGAACCAGGACAAACATCAACTGAACAGAATTCAATTCTTTTGATTCCTTGTCCTTCCAATCAAGTCACAAGTGAAACCAGAGAAAGGTTTAGTGGCTCCGCCACCGGACAGGTTTATCAAGGTGATATGATAACAGAGGGATAGATCTACCCAGCAGAACCCACCGATGGTAAATCATCACATCACTGGAAGACCTTACTTTCAGAGGAAGGCTATGTTTGTGTCCTTTTATTCAACTCTTTCACGCGGAGGTATTCGGAGGGGTTACGACATCAAGGTGTTCCACCTCACTCATTGATCTGTTTTATGATCTATTTTATTATTATTATTATTATTATATAGAATTCATGAATATTGTTAACTTATCTAGGTACTGGTATCTGCTAAAAAGTGGGTTTATTTGTTCCCCAACCAGTGGATTTGTGTGCATTCAAGTTATCTTTCTCAACTCCCTGGAGAGTATACAACCAGGGTGCCAATGTGTGCTAGAGGGTTTTGTACATCCACCTCACACATCCACCTGTTCGAGACTTGTTCAAAGCTTCCAGTTTATGTCAGTGCGATACTGGGAATGCGTGTCTGGATGCCTGGTTGGCAGTACAGCAGAACGCAATATCAACCCAAAGTGATGAAATTAGAAATGAATCACCAGAAGAATGGATGTGTCATCATACAACTGGAAGTGACATGATATATTTCAGAAGAGACATCATTCAAGAGTAGGATAATACAGAAGTGATGTCATAACAGGAAGTGACATCATAATGTCGGATGTGACTTCAAAGATACCAGAAGTGATGTCAGGGTATCACAAGAAATAAGAAAATATAATGTATTGTGCATTTTACTTACCATTTCTTTATGTTCACTGCTGTCAGCAATATGGGATTACTGGATGCCAGATCGCACCTTTACATGTGGTGTATTCTGGCTAAGATGTAATAGAGGTTTTGTATTTGAAGGAATTATCAGACAATAGTTATTGTGTATAATTCTAAGAATACAACCTCCCTTGCATCAGGATTAATCCCTCACACCTCCCCATTTATCTGACATCTAGGATGTTGATTATTGGTAAGATGTGACATATTCCCACCTTTTGCTGCTGCAATAGATAATTTTTTATACCATTTTCCTACGCAACTACTCATTATGTAGTGGCAGTGAAAAGGACGTATGTTGAAAAATCTAAAGATTCTTATGGTGTGAGAAAAACGAGAACGAGTGTTGTAATAGAAGTAGTATTCTTAGAATTATACACAATGATAACTTTTGTTTCATATGGGGATTAAATCGAAAGCTTTCCTGTTGAATATGACCATATGGTGTCATAGCACTTTCTTTGTATAATACAAAATCATGATGTCATGTTAATGTTTGATGTTGCCATAGGTAACCCCAGTGTGCATTAAACCCCAGGTGTGTGAAGAAATGTGTGTTGTCTTTCAGATGCACATTGAGGCAGCAAAGATGCTCCAATTCTCAGAGGAAGAATTTGTGAAGGCTCTTGAATGGGGAAACTGAACACCTGATGGGGTTGTCTACACATCTGCTGATGTGAGAAGGCTTTTATTCTGGGAAGAGTTAACACTGCCACATTTAGTTACCAGTTCATGAAGCTGAGTTCAGACCAGGGAGCCAGCAAAGGAAGACTCTGAAACAAAGGCACTTTTATCAACTTACATGGTGCAAAACATCACTGCAAAATGTATTATGTTTTGAAAATAAACTGTGTACAGTTCTTGACATGTTCCTAGTTTTTTCTCAAAGCAAACAACTGGCTAAGAGAGCAAAGTGTAAAGACTGCAGGTTCCATCTACATCTGAAATAGGAGTAAATCATTGTTGGAACTGTCATCATCAGGGTACAGCAGCAGGGTACAGCATTTGCAGCTGATTCCACATCATTGAAAATACATCACCCACACAGTTACACTTCACAGTTTGGAATAATGTGGGAAATTCCCTGTTCTGTGATATCATCCACTGACACTTTAGGCCAAGCAAAAGTACTGAAAATAACCTCTGAAAATTAGGTACATCGTAAATGTCGCCATTTTTTTACACATTATAAATCAACAGTCACGGCGTTATTTACAGCATGTTTTGAAATGTAAATTTCGGATATTTACTCGGAGAAATGGATTTCAAAAATAGCATATCAGTGACCACGGGTATTATTCTGACTTTTATGAAATCACCAATGATCATTCCAACCCTAGAATCGTTTCGAATGTTTTGGAAAATACCCAAACACGAACGCCGAAGTGAACTTTCCGCCATATTGGATAGGGTTTACAAAATCACGTTTCAGGTACACCCGTTATGAGACGCCTGTAACATCAGTATATTTCAAACTTAGCTGCGATACATACATCTTTGAATTGCTCATACATTTTAGAATCAAATGTCTTATGATCTTTGTCACCAATATAAAGTGCCTAGAGGAAATTTAAGCAAAATAAGTTAGGTGTAAAACGAATGCTGTGCTCGAAAAACTGCAACAAAGCAAAATTCAGATTGTACACAGTGTAGCATTTTCTCCTATTTTGAGCTATCCATTCGTCTATTCATTCAAGATATTGGCTCAACATTTTCGGAATATGCATGGGGAGAGACTTGTGGGAAGAATTAGGGAATTTAAAACAGATACATTGCATTGCACAGACATTGTCAAAGTTACCATCATGTATGACGCCATGACTGACGCAAAATCACGCAAAACGACAACGGTATTTATCGGACTTTCTGACTATTTCCGTTGTTCTCAAAGAATCATATAACAACAAATAACAGCACAAAGATTGTCAGAATGTGTCTGATTACTTACATGTCACATTTATGTATATACGACCCCTGAATCAACGAAAGTCCCCTCGTAAAATCCCGCGCACTGGTGACAGTGAACACGCCATTTTGTAAAGTCGGTCACGGGTAGTAATGTCATACGTCAACATTGTTGTACATATTTGGTAATTTCTTTGAGGTGAAGGTCCTTGAATGAGAGTGCACTGTTTACAGTTTCAGTTATGATGTAGATTTGGCATATACATTTTTTCACACAAGTAATTTCACTTTGGATATTTGTCAATGTTCAAAATGAAATCATACGTAAATATAGGCCACAGCATGTATGAACGATGAACTGCTTGTTTGAACATTGTTTACATAAGAATTAAATTTATAGTGTCAAATACGATATTTTTTTCCTTTGGACAAGTGTTTCAAGATGAAGTGTAAATGTAACTGCAGCATGTACGTATTTCTTGGGATGTGTAATAGTCAATATAACCAATGTCCATGAATAGCCGTTTCATTTTATTTTAAACTAAAACTGAATATATTACTTTATATTTAAATGGATACTATTTTTCGTTAAATAGAATGGATGTATTTCTTTTGGTATTTCATTACATTTGATGATAAAGCTATACTACTCCATTAATAATTGTGAAACATTAGTCAGATTACACCTACACAATCAGGAGAGTGTTGGAATCTAAGGACTAAGTTATAGCTAGGTTACATAGGGCCATCCATTTCTCTATGGGTTATAGCTAAAACGGCACCTCAGCAAAACGGCACCGATTGGTGAAAACGTCACCTCGCCTCAGGCGAAAACGGCTACTAATGCCTGGCGAAAACGGCACCTTATGTTTTTTTAACCTTGATAAAATAAATGATATAAAACTAACATGGTCGCTTGCAAACACCAATAATTGTGAAATGTTACAACTAGTTTACATTAGAATTTAGCCTCTACTCCAACTATTTTCCAACTTAGCCAATACGCAACTCAACTTATTGTGAAAACATAACATGCCTTGAAGTAAAATAATGAAATTAAACTCACATCGCCTCTTACAAACACTAATAATAGTGAAATGTTTAAACAAGTTTACAGTAGAAATTAGCCCCCTACTGTCCAGGACATTGTTTTTGAGGCCAAGAGAATACCCTCCTGGTAAATAGAGGTGCCGTTTTCGCCTATCACATAGTAGCCGTTTTCGCCAAATGCGGTGCCGTTTTCGCCAGAGAAATCGGTGACGTTTTGCTGAGGTGCCGTTTTAGCCTGCACCCTGTTTACCCTGTTTACCTTTTTTTTATGTAGATCTAGTACAATTTTCATCATTTCTTATGGTTTGTTTTATAAAACTAAACGTAATCAGTTTCAATATCAATATTTGTGTTGGAATAATTTGGTTCCTCAGGAACGAAACACCACGAAAATATATTGTCCTTACCCACAGCTAATTCTCATCAAGTGACATGAGTTACAATAAACTAGTGCTAAGCCCCCTTTTCTTTGTACGTGTGTAAAGTCTCTGTCGCCTTTTGTCGTCATAGAGAAAAATCAGTTATCGTCATTTACGGCATGCTATTTTTGGCATTGAATGTATGTCGTTAGACATACGCATATAACTCTATTTGATATGTAGTTATGGCGTTCAGATATCAGGCAGTATTTTGTTCGCTCACAGTTTCCGTAAAGGTTATACATTTTTTATAAAAAACCCGTCGCAGAGTACTTTTATCAGTGTACGATAAAAACCGGAGAAATTTACTGTTTTTCGACGCAGAATAAATTCTCGGACAACACTTAGCAGTGTCTTTTTTCAAACTGGTTTGACATTTGCATTTAAATTTACACCATCAGATAGGAAAGTTAATATTCTATATCTCTGCGTAATTTTCACGCCGGAGATAGATCCAGTGCTGCGTGAGCGCTATTCTCGCACAACCTTCACTTCAGACCAGCCGAATAGAAGGGAGAGGGTTGTCTGAAACTACGTGTTAATCATTTATGTTAATAATGTATAAGTAATGTTTCTCTAAAAACGTTGACAACGTAAGAGAAACTTCACACATTTATGTTTTTCGAAGGTTTTGACACAACGTATTCAAAACCAAAACAAAACGAAACGTATAGGTCTGCATATATTTAGCATATGCAATTGCAGCATTAATGAACTTTTACAGACCAAGGGAGGCACAGAGGAAGGAAGAGGCGAATTGAGTGGAAGACAAAAATCTGTCTGCTGAGAAGAAGTTCCCAGCGGAATGTAGATTTCTCACCAGGAACGGATTTGGTAAGCTTTTTAATATCAGAAACCGGCTATATTTAGGATATTAAATTTTACAATTTGCAAGAAAACGACACGAAAGTATTTGCCCGTTTGATGCAAAGTTACATGTTATTAGGTATATATTGGTGCGTTGTATTAAGAAACCGACTTTGTACCTTTGCCCTCAGAAGAGGTGTTAACAATTGAAAATATTTGATAAAATCATATAAACAATAATGCACCCGATTATCCAGACTTCAAAATAGATATTGACGAAAGGGATGTATTAAGGTGTTAAGTTGAAGAATGTCCTAATTTAAGCAGAGATGTCTGGATAATGATGCACTGGATTAAAAACTGAAATTAATTTATTTGTGAACATTTGTTCCAGGGGAAGCTGTTTTTCAGGATTCAGGAACAATACGCCTCTTGAGGACATGGACTCTGGGAACATTGGAAGCCCACATTTATGCGCTGTCTCGCAGAGTCCCGCTGTCCCTTGTGGGCTTTACGCATGCCCGTTGCGACAAGGGCAGGAGAGTCAAACAAATTGATCCGCAATCCCTCCTTGATCTCGAGCGCAAAGTTGGAAAGGCCACAATTATTATTGTCCCAAACAGGGACATCCCAATGGTAAGAAACCATGAGACCTATTTCAGTGAAGTATCTTCTAATAAATCACATCGTGAATATTTTTTTATGGTACAATGTCAAGGTTGTTTCATTTCATTTTGACAGAATGAGATGGAACAACAAGAACCAGCTTTATTGCAAGAACCACAGGGCAGCCAAGATTTATTGCAAGAGCCATCGAATGAACACACTTTACTGCAAGAACCACCAAGCAACCAGCAAGAGCCACCGAGCGACCAGGCGTCACTGAGCGACCAGGCGTCACTGCAGCAGCCACTGAGCGACCAGGCGCAACTGAGCGACCAGGCCTTGCAGCAAACGCAAGACACGGGATGGGTGATGGCGGGGACTCCCACAGTGCAGTTCCGCATGACAGGTAAACCCAAATCTGAAGAAATAAGTTATTATTACCAACCGACATTATGACTAGTTTATCCTTTTAGGTCGGTTACAAAGGTTTTAAGACAACCGGGGGTCACGGTCCTTCAGAACGGTCATGTTCACATGCCCAATTTAACAGATGGAGGCAAAGGACACAACATGAATTCTTAAAATGAAGGCTTTATGATATAGTCGGCATCGTACAGTGGACACTGCTATTTAGCTTTGAGATTTCTTATGAATATGGAAAGGGTTTTGTGGCTTTTATCTAATACGCAATATCATTAGGATACCTCTGTATATAAAAAGGATATGCGGCACCATAAATAATTCATATTGAATATGCACTTGAAACGCTTTTTCATTACCACATAGATGAATATTTACTTGAAAAAAATCTTGGTTTATAGCTGAAGAGGAAAACAACAGTGCAGTATCTATTGAAGTTACCGCCCATCTGGAACATGGTGAGTGAGAATAAACTATTCCTTTGTAACGTATTTCCTCAATTAGACTCCCGGGCGTCTATTAATTTCGCCCAAGCCGTTGACCCGGAGTCTATTCCGTTTAATGCTGGCACAGTAGCAATTCATTAAATACCTTACCGAATCCCAAAGTCTTAAGTCATACAAATTATCAAATGATGGAGCTGACCTCTATCG